AAGACATTCTTATCGGCAAACGACAGCCAGTGTTGTAAACGTCTTCATGCTTGCCTGTCATCCTGACAACTTGTTCTTGCTCTTGAGGCACTTTTGATTAAACAAACGTGCAAAAAGGTTTTATTGTTCTAGTTAAGAAGGCAGCATTTTCAAAAAGGTGCCTTTCGGCGTGATTACTTTTTAGATTGAGGTAAATTCGAGATAAGTTGCTTACGCGAAGCGAGAGGAGTGTAAAATCTTTACCTGACGTATTTGTGAACTCGTTAGTTCACCTTAATGAGAGAATAAATGATATGTTTCCTAACACTCAGTGTTTATATTTCCCCAAAGCGCTGGTATCGCCAAGCATTCGTAAATTTGATGACGCTTCATTCACTGCAGCACAGAGATTTTTGTCATTTTCAAATGTTTCGAAGATGCTGCTTGAAACTTAATCTTACAGGTAATGAAATAACCACAATGCTAAAGCGCCCATCTATGGATTTTAACAAGAAAGTATTGTAGTGTGCTAACGTCCAAACTCAAGCACCCGATTTTTTTGCTTCAATAAGCTTTATTCATTTCTAAGTTCTTGGTTACTTCTAAATATTCTCAAATGGTATTTCCAACTTCTCTCGTCCTAGGTTTTTTTTAACCTGAATTCTCCATATAAGCTGAAAGCTGTTTCAAAATTTATTTTGTTTTGATTGTTTTTTTTTTTGCTGAAAACAGCTTTGTTTCACACTTTTAAAGCTACTAACAATCCGAAGCTGCTTCATTCAAATTGCTGTATCTCTTTTTAAAGAGGCAAAGCTGTATCACAATTTGCAGTTTTAAAGGATTTTTTGCAACCCCGAACGCAAAAAAGGCAAATATATTCATATATTTATATTAGATTGTACCAAAAGTAAACACTTTCATATAAATTGAGCTTCTGTTTTTGTTTTCCTAACGGTAGGGTACCATTCGATAGAACGGAGCAAGATCTAAAAAAAAACCACCAAAGATTCACCTAATTCGTAATCCAGGTAATTGGGGCCAAAAATCAAAATTTTTCAGCTGACCTAAAAATCGGACCTCCATCCAGAAAATTCATTTCCAACTTGATCTTTATAAAGTTATCCACATAATATTAGGTTGTCCCGAAAGTTTTGTTGGTTTTTTCAAACCGCTATAAAATTATGCACAATAAAGACCTGAATGAGTTTCAACGTGCATTCGATGCAGCTTTTTCCTCTCTTTCTTAAGGTTACATTTTCGAGCAAGAATCATGTATGCTTCTTTTGATAATTGTTAAAATTCACTAGTCATTTTTATCTGCTCAAAGTTAGGCTAATTTTTAAAAATGTTCCGAAGGTGGCTAAATATGGCTCCAATAGAAAAATTTTCGGACTACAAAGGGATTTTTTTAAATTCTCTTAACCTGCTGTTTTTAGCTTCAAAAAATTATTTCTTTCGAGGCCTCGATTTTTGGCAAATTCGTGAAACATGCAACTACAACAAAAACATAAAAGCCTTTGATATTGCTGCGGTTTGAAACTTGATTGTTAACGAACAGTAATTATGCAACATAACCAAGTTTGATTTGCTTTGAAAAACTAGCTTTTTGAAATTTACGGTAATTTACGTGATAGACGTAATCAAAAAGCCCGGTTTTTCTTAAATAAATAATTATAACAGATTTGATAAAGGTGGCCCATGTAATCTAAAACAAACACAATGTAGCCAAAGATTTGCTCTACATAACAATTATTAGCGCTTTTTGAAAACATGAGGATAAAATTTTTTTAAATTCACGGAAGATTTGGCGTCAGTGCTGAACTGCTTAAAAGGCCATGGCGATAACATTGCAAAGGCAGAGTAGATCAGAGAGCAAATATGGCTGTAAGAAAGAGCATAGAAATCTGAATCAAATGATACCTAAATCGTCCATAGATTGGTGTTCTTTGGGTTTTGGTGCGCGATGAAAAAACCGACAAAACTTTCGGGACAACCTAATAGTACCCAAGAATGTATTTGATTGATTTGTTCCGGAGCTCAAAATTTGGGAAGCAAAGATGTCGACAACGCTAAAACGCCACTTTCTTGGGTTTCATGTGAAACTTATTTCTCGATCTTTCTCGAGCACAGAATTACGAGGGTTTTACTGCTTGTAGCAGGGGCTGGGGCGAAGTTTGCCAATATTGAGCTATCTTTTTTCTCGCTTTTTATGTCCAGAGAAACCCAGTAAAGGCACATTTGAATACTACTATGTGCCTACTCCATAATGACCAAGTTGGAGGTTCGTAGTGTTTCTTGCAAAAATTCAATTCAGCGACGAAATTTTTTTTCGATAATGCGACTTAAGCGGATCCCTGATGATCATTTAGTGGAGCTTGATTTGCTCTATCGAGTGATACCCTAAGTACCAGGAGAACAAAAAGAGCTTAACTATTTGAAGAAGGACTTTATTTTTGGGACAACCTATTATAATAACATTTAATTGGAAACTTTCACTAAACTCGAACGCTTCTAAGGTATATCCCACCTAATTTGGTGCAAGGTTGCCACCCACTAGTGTCGTATACGAGAAATGGCACAATTAGCTGCTAAGTACATTTTGCACCACGTATTACTTCTTTTCAAATCAAAAAAGTCAATACTTACGCAAGATTGCTTCACACAAAGCTCTCTTACCTTTTGATTCGACTGATTAACGGCTGGAAGGCAGTCCTTTGAGGCCCAATCCAGAATGGTCAAAGAGCACACTCGCGAAAGAGACGCAGACTGCGTCACCGGTGCGAGCGTCGCCTTTCAGTCGCCAATCCCGTTGAATCAAAAAGTAACATGGTGAATTCCACTACTTTGAAAAATATCAGAAAACTGTCAGATTCTTCACTAAGACACGGTTACAAATGTGATTAGAAAGAATGCGGGTTTTTGTAAAGGATACTGTATGATAATCTCTAAGAAGTTAATTTTTAAAATGATTGCCGATAAGAACTTTCGAAAGTGATGAAAGTCACGCTTTTAGGGTGCCCTTTTATAATGCCCGCTCCTCCCACCCTCTACCGTCCCGTCTCTCTGTTCGCCATTGTCTGCTGTTAACTATAGCTTGCAAAAACCCTACATAAATTTGTTAGCATTTTGCGATAAGACTACTGCTGAATAGAGACAGACATAGGTCTCAGGTCAGAGTAACCTTAATGCTGATTGAACTCATTACTCCTCCATGCTTTGAGATATTGCAGATCCTGTACTTCGTTCTCATGACAGGCGAACACACAGCTACGATTGAGCGGCTTTAAAATCGAGCGGTCGTCGAGGGACTGTAGGCATTCACTTCGATGAGATTTTCCGTCAAAGTGTGTGTTGTTATCCACATTGTCAAGTATACATCGACGGAAACTCTTCAAAAATAAAAAAAAAGTTTATGTAAAAGGAACGAGCGTTCATTGTCGCATGTGTAACAAGCCTGTAGCGCTTAGGTGTCCAAAGCTACGAGCGGACAGTTGGGTTCAAGACATGTACGTCCGTTCCGTAGAATTTTATATTTTATCTCTAGACCGATCCTGACCAGACTTAGTACATATACATTTCGGGGCGGCAGGTTTTGTAGGCAGCTTTTCCTTACCGAAGGTTGTCGATTTTTGCAGAATTAAGCTACCTGAGGGTTGGGCAAAACTGCGTGGCATGCTCCGCGTACATCGCGTAGTCTGGCTCAACCCTGAGAGCTGGCACGGGGGGGGGGGGGGGTATGCTAACTACGAATACAACATTAATTACTAAAATTATCCACAACCTGTATCGATTTCATTGATTTCTTCAAAATCTGAACTATGAGCCAAGAGTTGAGGGATTAGCGAGATGTTGATTGCGAGTACATAGTGGCCATGGTGATTTCTGTCATATTGTATTGACAGGGCCTTCAGGTATCGGGTACGCCAGCTAATTCATGTTAATTCTGCTGCATCTTATATTTGTGATTTCCTGCCAGTAGTTCTGAATCTCAGTGGATGGCCACAAAAGGATCACGCCACTTTTAGCGTTGGAGAGCACTCACTAAAGAATGCAATTTCGAAGAAAGCACGATATGCGATTATAAAATCTTTTTTGACATGGTATCGTGTCTTATCAGTATGAGCACACTTATCTGCCAACATATGTCATCTATTATGAGGAGGCTTGCTAGAGATGGAAATAGAAAGAATTATATCGTTTTGTCGTTTATCACAAAAATGTTTTAGCTAAAATCAGCTATGACATTAGGATCCACATTCTAGACCATCTCCATTTCATTCCTCATTGTTGATAAAAATCATGAATTATAATAACGGGCTAAAAAGGGTTGTGTGTGTTGTGGGTGTTGTGTGTGTATGTGTGCATGTGATGTGTGTATGTATGTGTATATGTGTGCACGTGTGTATATGGTGTGTTATGTGTGTGTATGTGTGTATGTGATGGTGTATGTGTATATGTGTGTATGTGTTTATGTGTATATGTGTGTATATGTATGGTGTGTATGTGTGTATGTGATGGTGTATGTGTATATGTGTGTATGTGTTTGTGTGTATATGTGTGTATATGTATGGTGTGTATGTGTGTATGTGTGTATGTGTGTAGAATACCACTCTCAAAATGTGCAAAATTTCCTGGAATTCCAGGAATTTTCGCGTGGTCAACGCGAATCTCGCAAAATACGCAGCACCATAACTTCCTTCGGAATGAGTATATTCTGAATCCGGAAGCAGTATTGTGTTCTCGTCAAGGCGAATCTTTACATATGCAGCATATCCTCGATAATCCGCTTCCAGTTTTCTCAAATTCTTCTGCGAGGTCCATTCGCAAGGATGTAACGCAATGCCTATCCAACGTAAAAGATGTCTGTAAATAGTGTTCGACAGTACTCCTTCTGTAGATTACGGAACGCTAAAGAGTAGCCGCAGACTTCTTTCCAAAAAAGATAAAAACGCTGGTGAATTCCGGAAAAATCACGCGTTTCTAGATTCTACTTGCCGTAACTCGTGGTAATTAAACAGTCTTGTTCAGGGCATGGCACAAGTCGGTTTTTAGGGTTTTTGAAAACGAAGTCTTCCTTGACTTTCGGAAGTTCTACGAAGTCCCTTTTGACTTACCTACTTAGGAAGATGAAAACAAAAAAGTTTACTAGTCTGAAAGAAAAACCATGAGATAAGAGCGAAAATCCTAATTATAGCTGAATACTACGCTTGCACAAGAGTTTGGCCTTGGAGCGCGATATTGAACAATGCGATTTATGTAGAAAGTGAGGCAAAAAACAAAGGAAAGGCAATGGTATGAAAATATTTTTATGCTCAGGGAATAGATTTCTGAGCGGGAAGTCCGTCCATGATAGAAAAATCGAAACTTTGTGAAGTGACGAAATATATGCTTCAGATGATCTCAGATCGTCTGGTGGTCATCTGGAGACGGACTAAATTTGGAAAAGATAGTGCTTCACACAAGTTTTCAAGTCTTTTTGCACAACTCCTTTGCAAATAATCCTTTTTTGTATAAAGTTCAAATTTGGTAACATATGATTCCGTGTGGGCCGTAAGCAAGTAATTTGTTTATTCGCCTTGCTTTTAAATCGCGCGCACTTTCCGCCATACACGATAGAGCATGTCAATCGTGTGATAACCTGTCCGAAAAGCTTGTGTCGACCAAATGGCGCTTATCTTGGTGCTGGGTCCCGAGTCGCCAAAAAACGATATCTCTGCTTTTTGCTCCAAAAACGAACCTGCTTCTAGACGATCTGTGCCGAGCCCTTATCTTGCTGAAGTGAGCACAAGTCAGCATTCAGCAGCTATAGTGCCAAGGGTTGATCATGATGCCAAGAGAATGCGTGAGATAGAAGGAGAGACTTCTGAGCTTAAAGCGCATATTGAAGCAAATCAAGCACCTGAATAAGCTTCGATTTCTTGCGTTTGCATGGCTCTTCACATCCTGCTATGAAGTCATGCATTCAAGGAGCTCATTATGTGAGTAGCATGAAGAATGATGAAAAAAAAGAAAGAAATTGATTACATAGCGGTTAGAGATTAGGCATACCCGGGTAACGCCGGGGGTGCCCCAGCTAGTAGCTTATAGTAACGGGCTAAGGTTGTTTACGTGCTGTGTGTGTGTCTCTCTATGTGTAACGGAGTCCATAGAGCGAGTTCCAGCCAATGTCCTTAGCTCAAATCTCGCTTAGCGCATGCTACCGGCGTAGAGCTCTGTCATACAAAAGCACAAGCGGATTTGTTGGATGGGTCCTTCAGAAACTGCGCATCAGACGGATCCACTTGGTTTCTGGCCCCACATATCGGATCCGTATCAACACTTTTTGCAAAGTCGTGGATGTGTTTGACATGTTGATGTACAAGCCACTTTAATCCAAAGAGTTAACAAGGGTCTACTAGTCGCGAAAACGTTTGCGTAAATGATCAATCCGCGTGGTTTCATCTGAACTTTTGAGAATATTTTTGCATAGAGAAGTAGCTCATGGTACTTATTGCCCTTATGGCGACTAGCAACCTAGAAGTTTTGAAACCTATTCAATCTTGCACTTGTTCTCCTGCGAAAAGTTACGCGAGATCACCGATTTCACATGAAAAAGCTTTTGGAATGAGTAGCTGTTTACATTTTATTGAGATAGTCGGCATTGCGCGGTGAGTTTCAAAGCCATCATCAGGCGAGAAGTAAGGCTATGTAGGATAAGGGTGAGCCTCTGCGAAGTAGAGGTGATACACTTTTACTCTCCTTCCACACAGAAGGTTGATAGTCTTGCAACAGTGTGAAAAATAAACATTTGAATAATCCTTTTGATATATTAGTGCGTCACCTCTGCGAAGCAGAGGTGACGCACTGGCCCTATTTTCTGTATGCCTTACTCATTCCCGCATAATAATGACATTGAAACTCACTATGCTATGTAAGCTATCACGAATAATTCGTAAACAACTACTCATTTGTAGAGGTTTCCCATGTGAGATCGGTATTTTCGCGTGGATAAAATCTTTCCCAGAAGAACAGATGCAAATTCGAACAGACTTTTGGAATTTTTATGGCTTGGTAGTCGCCGTAAGGACAATAAGCATAGCAGGCTACACCTCTGTGCAAAAATCTTCTCAAATAATCAGGTAAAATCTTGAAAAATTGACCGTTTACACAGCGAATGCTTCTTGGCGCTGTTTTCGTAAAGTAGTAGACTTTTCATCACTTTTTTAGGCTAACGTCCATCTTGCACATTAGCTTGTCAAATATATCCTTAACTCTGCAAAAAGTAGTACTACGGACCCAAATTTGCTGGCCAGAAGCCAAGTAGATCCGTTTGACGCGCAGTTTTCAATGGATCCACTCAACGGATCCGCTCATGCCTTTGTATAGTGAGCTTTCATGTGCTGGTAGCGTGCACTATGCAAAATTTGGGCTCAGGACGTTGGCTGGAACACGCTCTACGAATTTCGTGACAGACAGAGATTCACACACACACACACACACACACACACACACACACACACACACACACACACACACACACACACACACACACACACACACACACACACACACACACACACACACACACACACACACACACACACACACACACACACACACACACACACACACACACACACACACACACACACACACACACACACACACACACACACACACACACACACACACACACACACACACACACACACACACACACACACACACACACACACACACACACACACACACACACACACACACACACACACACACACACACACACACACACACACACACACACACACACACACACACACACACACACACACACACACACACACACACACACACACACACACACACACACACACACACACACACACACAAACGTAAACAACCCCTTAGCCCGTTATTATAAGTTATGAATTACACCAGTGCGTCATCTCCGCTTGGCGGAGGTTCGCACTGGCTCCCTATCCGTACGCCTTTCTCATGCTCGCATGAGAATGGCTTTGAAACTTACCACGCGATGCTGAGCATCACAAATGAATCGTAAACAAGTGCTCATTCATGAAGCATCTTCATGTAAGATCCGTAATTTTGAGAAAAAACTTTGTTGCAAGGAAATAAATGCGAATTTGAACGGATTACTGAATTTATTTTAGTTAAATAATTGCCATAAGGATAATAGTCACCTTGGGCTCCATTTCAGTGCAAAAATTTTTTTAGTTTTTTCGAATGAAACCTTACCAAAACGACTATCTACGCGTTCATCACTTTTCGGCGCTTTTCGCAAAAAAGCAAACTTTTTGAGCATTTTTTGGGCTAGAATTAATGGCGCGCAGAGTTACTTTTCAGGTAAATCATGACTTTGCAAAAAGTCCAATTAGCGACCCAGTTTTGCGTGCCAAAAGGCGCGTGGACCCGTTCGACGCGCAAATTTCGAGGGACCCGCTTATCGAACGGCTCGTCCTTGCGCATGGTGGGCCTACATGCTGATGGCATACCTTGTGCAAAATTTGGGCCCAATTCCTTGGCTGGGACTCCTGCTCTCCTGCTGCGAATTTCGTGACAGACAGATTTTCACACAGACAGACACACACACAAAGAACAGAAGCCTTACCGCGTTATTATAGTGGGATACTCTAAGTTACATCAATTAAATTTGTACTTCATTATCATCATTACTTATAATAACGGGCTAAGGATGTTTACGTGACTTTGTGTGTGTGTGTGTTACGAAATTCGTAGAGCGTGTTCCAGCCAACCTCCTGGGCTCAAATTTTGCACAGTGCATGCTATCCGCATGAGAGTCCAGCATGCAAAAGCACGAGCAGATTCGTTGGATAAAATAGATACAGTACTTGGTTACAGCTTATCCATTTGGTTTTAATGATCAAATTAAAGGATTTGGTAATATTTCCGATAATGTAAATCCTATGGAAAAGAACGAACATCCATATTTTAGATGTTCAGTTAGTAACAAAAGGATAGGGGAAAGAAAAGGAGATCTAAAAAGAAAAGTGAATGTGGTGACAGAACCGAGGAAATTTTAGCAACGATAAATACTTTACAAGGTAACGAACTATACGTTTATTTTAGGAAGCTCAATAAATATGATATTTCGAGACTAATAGATTACAGTTTCACACCTATCTTTTCAATGTTATCTTTCGAATATAGATATAAGATATATGCATTGATTGCATCACCATTTTGGGAGAGAAAGGATAAGCTGAGAGCCAAACAAGAAGAAATAACAATCAACATACCATACATAGGTGATATTTTGGATAAGCTTAAACTCTAAAAGTTATGTAACAGTCCAAGAATCAGAAGGATTGTCAAAGAACATATAAGAATCTAAGATGAAAACAAACTGAACAATACCAAAGTGTCCATGGTACAATCTTGGTAAACCGGCAGGTCTGGACATGTTCAATTACAATAGTTTTCTCAGAAAACTTGACAAGTCTACCATAAAGTCCATAGAAGAAAAAGAATGCGAATGTAATAATTACATCGATTTTGTTGATAACTACAACAGGCATGTTTGCACAGGAGATCTGAATATCATACAGAATGAAAAGTTAAGAAAGATTTTTGAAAAGGGAACAAAGTATAGAACGCATGTGGTAATTACCAAAGGCGAAATTTTAAA